CTGGGAGCTGTCCCACACACACACCCACACCCACTCACGGACTGGGAGCTGTCCCTGCTATTGTCCCGAGACTTGTTCTTGGCCAGCCGTTTCTTCTTCTTATGCAGAGGCCGTGACTCGAGGATCATCTCCTCCAGCTCGAAGGTGGGGTCGCAGTGCAGACGGCCTTTCTGTGGGGACCTGGTTTGAGTGGGCTCTGAAGCCGGCATGCCCCCGCTGTCCCTGGCAGGGAGGGTCCCGCTTACATTGGGTACGAAGCCGGGCTCCACTTTCTTCTGGGTCAGGTCATCCCAGGGCACACGGGCCAGCAAGGGGGCAGCCTGCATGTCCCGGAGACTGGAGACTCGGAGCTCGGGGTTCACTGTGAGCAGCTGGAACGAGGTCATTAGGGAGGACACCCAGGTCTACACTGTCCCAGATGCCACTGGGCTGAGGATGGGGCTCAGGGCCCATGAGGCGGGATGCACCATGGTCAGCAGTGACCATCCCACAGCCAGATGAGCTGGAGAGGGTCTGGCCAAGCCCCTGAGCCCAAGGACGCAGGAGAGGGTGATGCCAGGAGGTGGGTTTCAGGGACACGTGCCACTGGTAGGTGGTACCAGAGACCTGGCACACAGGGTTCCCCTGATCAGTTCTAGCTGCCATGAAGCAGTGCATCCTGGGTCACACAGTCTGTCAGCCAGAGATGAGGGCAGTGGTGGAGGTGGGGGTCCTTGCTGGGGACAGACACTGGGGTTGGACTTGGGGCCACCCCTCGCAGACCCTTCTAATCCTGAACCCTGCAGGGACACCCTCCAGCAACCTGGCTCGTCCCCCGAGCACACCGTGTTTACCTTAAATGGCGAGGGCTCACCCTTGGGGGCTGAATGCGTGGGTGGGCTCTACAGCCCTGGGCAGGGGGCATGGACCCACCTTCCGCAGCAGGGCCACCATGTCCTTGGACCAGGTTGGGGCGTACTGGACGCTCACAGTGCTGAAGTGCTGCACCAGGGACTCCACTGCACTGCTCGAGTGGATATCATAGGGCCGCTGGGGGCAGGGGAGGCCACTTAGGACCCCCACTCAGTGCAGAGTTGGGCAGCACCCTCCCCCACCCAACGGACAGGCACCGAGCTGAACGTGGCCTGAGGAGAGCCAGGAGGCAGGGCCTACCCCTGCTCCGGCACCCAGAACCACATCACCCAACCTTACTCCAGAGCCCTCGGGACCAGCCTGGAGGGCCGAGAAGGGGATCCACTTTTCTCAGTTACAGGGCCCACAGGGTGGCTGGAGGTGCAGAGCCCAGGGCGGCTAAGATCCCCAGAGGGATGAGGAAGGCAGTGCCGTCCCCACCCCTGAGCTCCCAGAATGAACGGAAGGATGGAGGCGTCCAGGGGAACACTGGGACCAAGCCAGGGATCTCAGGAAAGTGCCCACGAGACAATCCCCACCCCATTGCACACAGACCCGCCCAGGTCACACCTCATGGGGGCCGCGATTACGGCTCCATACCCATCCTCGAAGCAGCTCGTACGCCATCACCCCCACTGACCACCAGTCCACCTCGAAAGAATAGCCTGTCCCACCGCTGACAAACGACTGGAAGATCTCGGGGGCTTTCAACAGACAGAGAAGGGGTGTTGAGCCAAGAGGGTCCACAGACACAACCCGGGTTCAGGGGTGACACACCCTCCCAGTGCACAGAGAGCATGGCCCTGCCATGGAGCGCTGGCTTCTGTGCAGGCTGACCCTGCGTGGGGTGGACTTGTCACACAGCTCTCAGGGGCATCACTGAAATTGCTGCCCCATCCATAGAGGACTGAGGGCTGGACCGGGTGGGTGGGTGCCTACCCATGTAGGGCTTGGTACCAGCCAGTGCAGTCGCCCTCTCCCCATCCTTTATGATGGTCGCGATGTTGAAGTCTGTTAGGTGTGCATGTCCTGCAGAAAGAGGAGAGGTTGGACGGCTGCCCCAGAGACCAAAGCAGACACCTGCTCCCACCTGCCCACACCCTCCTCAGCTCACCCTGCTCGTCCAGGAGAATGTTGTCAGGTTTGATGTCTCTGCACAAAGAGAAGGAGTGGGCTGAGTATCCCCAACCCACCCCTACTCCCATTTGGAATCTTGGTTGTTCCAAGACGTGCTTCCCAGCTGAGGTATGCACACACCTGTGGATGATGTGCTGGCTGCATAGGTAGTCCAAGGCCAATGCCATCTCACAGATGTACAGTCTCACTGTGTCCTCTGAGAACTGGACGTTCTGCTGCAGGTGGTAGCGCAGGTCCCCACCCAGCAGTAGGTCTACTACCATGAACATGTCCTCCTCATCCTGGAAGGAGTACCTGTGAGTGTCGAGAAAGAGGAGTCAAGTGGCCATGTGGAGGGATGAGGAGGAGGAGGAGGAGATGATGGTGGTGGTGGAGATGGAAATGATGATGAGGGAATGTTGACGTCTATGATGATGATGATGATAGGGACAGTGGTGACAGGGATGATGGAGATGATGCTGAGGTGAAGATGGTGAGGATGAGGATGGTGGTGAGGATGATGAGGATGAGGTGAAGATGATGAGGATTGAGATGGTGGAGATGGAGATGATCATAATGACGATGCTGCTGGATACCTGGTCTTTGCACTCAGTTTATGGAATACACTCTACACTTATTCAGCCCCTAAGGTCTCCCCCACTGATTTTAGTGCCTGAAATTCCATGGGTCACACAATTCCCTTACGGAAGAGCCTGGAGAGGCCCTTCAGTACTTAAGCATGCCCGTGGACACTGAACCCTAGTGAGTAAGTGACCCACAGGGATAGGGAGGGCAGGGAGGTGCTGTGGGTGTCAAGGGGCATCTGCGGGCATAGAGCAGCCGGAAGGGGCAGTCAGGGGATGACGTGAGCAGAGACCATGGAGTTGGACCAGGTCCCCAGCAGGCGAGCTCACCAGAGGTTCACCAGGAAGACATGCTCAATGTCCTGCAGGATCTCCAGCTCCCGGAACACGTTGCGGACCTCATCACGCTCAATGCACTGCTGCTTGTTCATGTACTTCATGGCGTACATCTTTTCCGTGTCCCGCTTCTGCACAATGCACACCTGCGGCACAGGACATGGTCACAACCTCGGCTCTCAGTGGCACAGATCTGCCGTGGACTGAACAAGTAGGGCACCTAAAAACTCACTGTACAGGAGTCCAGGCGTCTGGAGAAGTGAAAAATTCCAGAGCTCAGTGTGAGCAGGAGACTGCCCCAAATGCATCAGTCAGAGGCAAGTGGCCTGGAACAGACCCACCCCTTAGTGGGCATCAGAGTCTCTGGCCCAACCTGCTGGATCCAGCTCTTGGATCCTGAGAAACAGAAGGTATTTTATGCGTGAAGGTGTCCATCAGTGTCACTTAGGGGCGTGAGTAAGTGCACTCAATGGACCCTAATGCAGACATTGGAAATAATGTTGTTGTTGTTATGTGCCATGGAGTTGGTTCTGACTCATAGCGACCCTGTACAGGGTTTCTGAGGCTGTAAATCTTTACAGGAGCAGAACGCCTCATCTTTCTCCTTTGGAACAGCTGGTAGTTTCAAATGGCTGACCGTGAGATTAGCAGCCCGATTCGTAACCGCTACGCTAATAATACTTAGAAGCAATTCTTACAATGCCAAGCCACAACATTTAATGACAACAATGTAACTATTACACACCCACTGTGGGTGGAAACTGGACTTGATCACAGATGACTAGAAGCGGCCAGCTTTGGTTTCTATAATGCCACTGCGGGGGCGTGACAGCAGATGGTAACAGGACACCACAGAGCCCACCTGGGTCCAGAGGCTGAAGCCACACGCGGCCTGACCCCTGCCCATCACAGGGCCTCTGTGTGCCCTCACAACTCCCATGGCTCTTCTGCTAGCCCCTTCTCTCTCTCTTCTGGCCTCTTGGAGTGTGGGGGTCTGCGGGGACCCCACCCACCCCTAACTGTATGACTTCCAGGACCAGCCCACTGAGGTACCCTCATGTCTTAGACCAGACATGCTCTCAGCCAACGGGGCGCTCTGCTCACCTGAGGTACTCCCTCAGGGTCACCTAAGCCAGCGTCTCCTAAGCCAAGGGACATCCAGACACTGGGCCTCCGTGACCCATGGGAATGACAGGACTGCTGGGCACAAGGGGCAGGGGCATCCGCAGCCATGGGATCGGGCAGGTGGGTATATGAGTCTTCTCAAGGCAATTCCAGCAGCACAAATTCATTCTCCTAACAGCTCTGGAGGTCAGAATCCGTAGCGGGTCTCCATGCGCTAAAGTCCAGGTGCCCTCGGCAGGTTCCTGCCGAGTCTCCAGGGGAGGTCTGTTTCCTTTCCTTCTCCAGCATCTAGAGAGAGGTCACTGCATTCTTCAACCCAAGGCTTCTTCCTCCATCTTCTTAGTCAACAGTCTCACTCTGATCTCTCTCGTCCACTGATAAGGAGGACCCTGTGGTCACATTGGGTCTACCTGGATAGTTCAGGAGAATCTCTAATTTAAAGTCAGCTGACTAGCAGAGCGTAGGTCCCAGGATAAGGACACAACATCCTTGGGGACTTCTCTGTGCTGACCACAGAGGTGTGGCACTTGGAGGTCCTTGGCTAGTTTGTCCGAGTTCCATGATTCACAGCTTGTGTAATCTTTAGGTGGTCACTGCAGTCCCTCCCTGAGACTCGGTCCTCCAGTGAGGAGGACCCCCGGTGGAAAGGTAGACAGTGAGGCTGCTTCTAACTTGCAGCATCTCCCACAGCAATGTCTACCTCACAGCCCACTGAACTCCCAGACAAGACAGACAGACGGATGTAGAGGCAGGCGTGACGCTCAGCTCTGAAAAGGTCCACTGCTCCCCCAGGCTCTGTGGTGGGATGCCCAGCCCCCGAGCAGTCCTCCAGTCATTGCCTCTCAGGGGACCCACTAAATCTGTGGTCAGTGGCCACAGCACACTCTGGAGGCGCTTAGGGGGAGACAGCAGTCCCCCAGGAAAGGGGAGTCAGCCGCTGGGGAAGCCTGGTAATGTTGCTGCGCCTCAGGGACTCCAGAAACCTGGAGGACAGTATCAGCTTTTCCAGGTAACCATCTCTGCAAACACAGGTGACCTGGCTTCCCTGAGGGTTCCTGCTCCTTGGAGACCAGTCGCTGGAGTTCTTGAGGGATGGTGGGGAGGAGCCGCAGGGAAGAGCCGGTGACCAGCAGAGATGCCATGACCTCCTACCAGGAACCACGTTGACAGATTTTGCACTTTAAGTGATTCCAAGTAATTTTCGGTCCCCAGAAAGCAAAAAGTCCACACTTAGAGGTTCTGGGCAGACCTGACCCACCTTGGCTGAGCATGGGGGTGGGGTGTCAGTTGGGCCCAGCAGGCCTCTGGGCAGGTGGGAGGAGCCCATCCCTGAGGCCAGGCATCCCCAGAAGTTCTGGTCCCCCAAGACACCAGACACACACTCTGTGTGTGTGTGTGGGGGGGGGGGACGGGGACAGTGGGGTCAGCTCTGGAGCCCAGCACCAAGGTACCCAGGGAAGCCGAGAGACACCCCACCCTCCAGGCCACTGAGTGCAGGGACCTGACCCCTCTTGCTGTCCCTTGCTTGTGTCCCTCTGGGGTGGCTCTTCTCCCGAAGATCCTGAAGAGCTAGTGGGCTACCTGTGGTGGGCAGGAGGGTCTCCAGGCTTCAGTAGGTGCTCTGGGTCCAGGGGGCATCCTGGTGGGGAGGGGGGCTGAGTAGAGATGAGTGGGAGGGGCAGGTGGGGGTCTCTGCCATTGGCGCTGAGCGACTGTTCCCTGTCAGGCTGCATGGGTCCTGCAGGAGCGCCTGAGTGGACAGATCCAGGGAGGAGGCTCTGACGGGTGAGGGGGTCCCTTGCCCGGCAGATATTGGAGATCATGGAGGTCAGAGGACTGGGTTTCCAGAGATGCCCCTCAGCCCCATGGGGGAGCAGCCTCAGCCAGAGGCCACGAAGGTCCAAAAGGGTGGGAGAGGGCATGGCTGGGTCTGGGCTCAGGCAGAACTCGGTTTCTCTTCATGGCTGGACCACAATGGACCATGCTGTGGTCATCTGTCATCTGTTGGTGGGCATTTCGGCTGTGTCCCTGCCCCCGGGGTGTTGTGGACAGGTCAGGAGTGAACATTGGTGTACACGTGTCTGGGCTCCTGCTTCTCGTGGGTGGACGGCCACACACCCAGGACTCTGACTGTGGAGTGGCGCTACCTTCCTCCCTCGCCTACGCTGCAGCCCGGGGCGCACAGCTGCCATGCATCTCAGTGGTCAGCTCAGTCCTGGGTGTCAGGACCATCCGGGGCCTGTGGGGGATGAGCTCCTGCCGGAGGGCTGGCCTGGACTCTGGCTGTACGTGCACCCTTGGCTGGTGGCTGGTCTGGGCACAGGTGGCAGGTGAAGGTGATGCCAAAGCCCACCCCAAGTCCCTGACTGCTTGTCCTTTAGCTCTTACCGCAGGGTGTCACACAGTAGCCGCGCCCCCACCCCCACCACATTCCTCCACCCCCCCACCCCGCGCCCAGCATACAACGCCAGCATCTGAGCTGGATGTGCCCATGGCACGTGGACACCCCAGGGCTGGGGTGCCTGTGAGAACCATCCTGGGCAAGGAGTGGGACACGCAGCGAGTGTGCAATTTTAACACTAAAACAAACAAGATATTTATAGCATAGAACGTGGCATTTCCATAGACTTTTCAGAGAATACTTCAAGCCACAGAGAAAGGTTGGGTTTGAGGCAGGCAGCTCAAGAGTAGCCCAAGGACAGACCACTCTAGCCCCTCAGGGACACTTCCTGGACATCAGCCACCCTGACCCACTATAGGAGCCCAGGGAAGCTTTTTTCTTCCCTAGGTCTCAGCTCTCAGCTCTAAGATAGGACCCCAGCCTGTCCCGACATCCATCTCCCCAAGAGCAGCTGCCTGAGGGGCCGTGGGAACAGCTGGGGATCACACACAGACCCTCCACTACCTTCCCACCAACCCCCACCCCTCATCTTCCTCCGGGAGAAATACGAAGGGTCTTGAAAAAGTTCTTTGGCAAATAGAATAAAAAGATCATGGCATTTTTCCATGAACTATTTGAAGCCCCCTCCCCCCAGAGCTGGGATTACTGATTGACCAGAAAAGAACCTGCGATTTGATCCATTCATCATACTCCAAACCTGAATAAATTCCGAATGGGTGAGAATTGAACCGTGGTCAATGGACCGTGTTGGAGGCAGGAGGCAAGGGTGCACCCCCCTCCCCCACATGGAGGGTGACACCCTAACTTCACACCCAACTCCAAAAGCAGTAGGGAGAAGGATGAGGCTGTAGAAATTAAAATATTCTAGATGGCAAAGCCACATCAAAAAAGTGCCCAAAAGAGCAAACTGGGAAGAATGTTTGCAAGTTCCGTCAGAAATCAAAGGTTAACACCTGTAGTACGTAAACATACACAAACCAACCAATTACCAGCAAGTCAATTTAGACCCCAGGTGTGCAGAGTCTAACTATTCCACAGGGTTTTCAAGAAGCAGACTGACAGGCCTGTCTTCTGTCACGTGCTTCTGTTGTTGTTGTTGTTGTTGTTGTTCTGACTCACAACGACCCTGTATAGGGTTTCCCAGGAATGGCTGGTGAGTTTGAACCACCGACCTTGCTGTTTAAACCAACCTTATGGTTGAGTGCTTATCCCATAACGCCACACCAGGACTCCAAAGTGATACTTCTTGTTGTTGTTGTTGTTAAGTGCCGTCAAGTTGGTTCCGACCCATAGCGACCCTGTATAGGGTTTCCGAGGAGCGCCTAGAAAGCTTGAACCACCGACCTTGTGGTTCATACCGACTTTGCAGTCCAGCGCATCAACCCACAGCACCACATCAGGACTCCGAGGTGATACGAGGTGGGTTCAAATCATCAACCTTTCAGTTGGTAGTTGAGCGCTTAGGCATTTGTACCACCCAAAGACTCTCCTAAAATACACAATGGGCCTCTTAATAACTAAAAAGAAACAAACTGCCAGGCCAACAGAGAAATGGGCAAAGGTACAGCTAGAAATGCTCAGGAAAAACTACGCAACTGGTCTTCTACCATTTAAACAGACGCTCAACCTTGCTCATCATAAAAGATGCAAAGTTGAACCCAATGAGATGCAGCTCTCTCTGTCAGCCTGGCAAAAGTCCAAACGTTTGGCAGAGTCCCCCGTTAGAAACATCCTGGTGGAATACAAAGCGGTCCAACCCCTACGAGCGAGCTGGCAGCGTCTAGCACCATTCCCTTCCGTTTATTCTCCACCCATGCATCCCAACTTCGAGGAATTCAACCCAAAGACATGAAGACAAGACAGCACACATTCCACTATTTACTACAGTCACAAAAGACTGGCATGGGCACCAACAGCCCCCAGAGAAGTCCACATCCTACCCCTGGAACCCCAAGAACGCCATTTAAGGGAGGGCCCTTGAGATGGAAGATGATCTTGCAGGCCTGAGTGGACCAGTGAAAGTGATCTGTGCCTTTAAGAATTCTAGTTTCGGCCTTGCAGGAAATAACCAAAAACTCGCCCGTCTCCCCTCAGTAAAACTGTTTTGAGCTTTAGTTTTATGGCCGCTGAAAGAAACAAAAGCGAAACCCCAAGATGTGCCTAAGTCTTTAGATTAAACTGAAGGCCATCAGAGAGTGTCTGAGCCAACAGGCCACAGAGACTCTGGGAAACAAGTGGTTTTGAAGATACAGAGAAAAGATTCTGTTATTATTCACCTCACTAGCCTGGACGGCCCAGGAGACTCACGGATGGCCTGAGTGGGGTCAGGGGAAAGCAGGGGCAGCTGGGGGCAGGCAGGGACCAGGGAAAAGGCCTCGCCCACCCCAAAGATCCCTTCTGGTCCTCTCCAGGTGTACAAGTACCCCCCAGGGTGTCTTCCGAGTGGGCCATGCCCTCCTGAACCCTGTCACACCAGGGACCTTCAAGTCCTTCCCCGGGGGACAGAATGGCCACCCCCATCTGTAGGTGGGTGAGCAGAGGCTGCTCCTGCGGTCAGTCCTCTAAGGGTGTAAGCTGCAGACCTCTCACCTCAGTAACACGGTCTCAGCCCACTGGGCTCCCAGACCCCAGAAGCATTCAAACCACTGGCCCTCAACACGCTGTGGGTTTCTCACTGAGTCTGCACCGATGGGGTGACCTACTTTGGCTTGTAATTAACCCGGCCATCCTCTGGGGCTCAGAGCCACCAATTACCGGGTAATAGGCTCAGGAACAGCACAAACGCCGTGAAAGAGCTTAATGTGCAGACACAGCGTCCAGGCGCTGAACAAACAGGGCAGGGCCAGGGCAAAGGCGCCAGCCGCCAGCCCCGCAGACACTGGAAGGCAGCTGTGCCCATTCAGAACCGGCTCGTTTCCCGCAGAGCCACTGGGCCATGGCCGGGAGTTCATTTCAGCTCTTTAGAGCTTCGTGTAACTTCTAATTATGGCTCGCTCTCTGGCGGCTGTCATCAGGAACTAGACCCAGCCAAGAGAACAGAGGGGACGTAGAGACCTGGGCTCAGGCTCCCAAGGCCACAGATGGACAGGTGAGGGCCCTGCACCTGGCACATGGCCGCCTCCTCCCACCCCGACACCTGACACCTGAACCCACTCAGAACCACCCAGGCTCCTTGTCAGCGACGCTGCTACTGTCGTCGTCTGACGATCCAGATATTTTCATGGAGCCCAGTTCCTGCTTCCTCTGAAAGCCCCAAGGCCTCCTGGGCTAGGGAAGCCCCCAGTGCACCGCAGGGCTCTGGCCAGCATGGCTTTGTCCCTCCTGGCGTGGCTGACTACTTGATGACGCTGTCCTAAGACAAGTGCCCCCCCCCCAAGTCTTAAAGTCCCTACTGGGTGGGCCAGCGTCCTAGAGAACCAGGCAGGTGGGCCCGACCCAGCTTGTCCAACATGCCCCAGGTCCACATGCTCAGCCTTACCTTGCCAAAGCTGCCCTTCCCGATGGCTCGCAGGATCTGGAAGTGGTCGAAATTCACTATGGAGCAAACAGAAGGCACAGTGAGCTGGACAGAGCGCCTCCTCTCGGCCCCTCCACCATAGCGGGAAGGCACAGCCCCTCCCAGCTGCCCTCCCACCCTGCCCCGGAGACCAGCTGAAGCCCAGTTCCCATGAGTGTGTTAGGAAACAGTCTTTGAAGATGTTGGGTTCACATGAGGTCACAGTGGAGGAGGGAGGCCCTAACCCAATGAGTATGTTCTCACAGCAGAGACAAGACAAAGAGAAGGAAGATGGGGTCAGGTGACCTCAAGCCAAGGAGCCTCGTGAAACTGGAGCCAAGGCAACATTCTCCCTTGAGTCTTCCGAGAGCACAGCCCTGACACGGCCCTGAATTTGGACTTCTGGCCCCAAAGCTGTGAGAAGATGCATGTCTCACAGTCAATCCAGGGTTCACATCACAGCAGACAGGCCTGGCCTGGGCCGGGAGAGCTGCCTCAGGGATCAGACAGCGCCCACAGACTAGAGGGAGAGGCCTGCACTGGAATCTCTCAGCAGGCCCTGGTCCCTGGCCAGTGAATTCCAGGGGCGAGCCCTGGAGCAAGCACAGACCCATGGAGGGAGGGGTCAGAAGCAATGCAGCTGCTTCTGCACAGCAGAGCCAACTGCTCCCAGGGCCGGCTTTTCTACCGACTTTACCAACGGGCACCTGGGGAGGTGTTGCAGAAATGGCAGCCTTCCTAACTGACCGCCCCTGCCCGAGTCCACACGTGCCTCCAAGGACTCGCTGTCGGGACCTGAGACCCACACTGCTGGGAGTGGGGGTGGGGTTCCCCAATGTCTGCCTCTGTCCTTCCATTCAGTCTCCCAGGTAGGACACCCTACCTCTGCCAGGCCTCAGGCCAAACCCCTGTCTCTGGCTCTACACAGCTCAGGCCTTCTACCAGCTGACCTCCAGCTATTAGCTGACCAGGCCTGTGTCCCAAGAAGGCAAGTCTTCACCAAGCCCACTGCATGTCCCCAAACACCGGACGGGCACGAACCCCAAAGTGCAACATTTACGTTTATTTAGTTGTCCATCTCCCCCCAGAGCACAAGGAAGAAGCGCCCCCCCCTCAGGCTGAGATGAATCACAGCTTCCTGACGGCATGGGGACTGCAGGCTGGACCCAGGGCCTTGGTGGGCTGTCTCTGGACACATGTAGAGCACATGGTGGCGGGGAGAAGGAATGGGTTCTACAGAAATGAGTCTTTGCCTTTCCCCTGAAACTACAAACTTCCCACTCCCAACTCATAGCCCTCCACCACCCTCCAGCCCAGAGGCACCAGGGTGTGGGACAGACAAAAACAGGTACCCCGAGGGTGTGGTCCCCAAAGGGACAGTCCCGTCCTGTCTGCTTTATCCCCAGAAGCAGTGGGCGTTGACCTGAAGGACCTGCATGAGGCAGTGGGGGAGGAGGTGGAGGGCCTGCCTCTGGTGAGCGCTCAGGATTCACAGGAGAGGGGAGGGGGCCCAGCATAGAAGAGACTGCCCATACCTCACCCCCACTCCTCATGAAGGTGCAGTGGAAACCACAGTAGGCGGGGGGGTTGTGTTAGGACATGCGTCTGGGGTCTCAAGTGCACAGGAAGGATGGACGTGGTGGGATTCGATTCTGCAGAACTGGTTGGAGGGTGCTCTGGTTTAATCAGGAAACTGACAAGATGTAACAGGACTTTGCAAAGATCCAGAGGGGAACAGCAACGCCATGGAGGAGTGGGCTGTGGGCTGAAGGAGACCCACTAGCTACAGGGTGACAGTTGAGGGGCCCCATTGCTGTTTCTGACCCTCGGGGACATCTCTGAAGTTGACATTTGTGCTGAGTTGTAAGGGGGCACAGGAGCCTGGTGGCTCTGTGGGTTAAGCAATAGGCTGCTAGCCAAAAGGTAAGCAGTTCAAGCCCACCTTGGGAGAAAGATGAAGCTGACAGACAGCCTCGGAAACCCTGTGGAGCAGGCATACACTGACTGTTGGTTACATGATGGTTGATCCAACAAGAGCTTCACGGATGAGAATCAGCAGAGGACTAGTTCCCAGAGAGCAGAGCCCAGTCATAGCTTGCTTGGAACGTCATCATTTCTGACACCAGCTGCCCGTGTGGCATGCTCTCTCTCTCCCTCTCTCTGCCCCAAGCCACCCGGGGCCAGGTCAGACCTTACAAGTAAGGAGGACACTGTACATGAATTTGTTCATTCACTGGATTGACTCAACAAACGCATGGAAGAAATGATTCTTACAATTATCGCTTTAACTATAGTGAAGGGGTAGGCATCAGACTTGTTCACGGTTTTCAATGGCCAGTCCTCAGAGTGGGCTAGGTGATGTCCCTGAGTCTACTTGACACCCATCTCCCAGGTGAGTCTTTTCTAACCTAGCCTGTCCAAGTATGGACTGGAAGTCTCAGACAAGCTCCCTGATTATGCCAAGAGTCCCTTCTCAGAAAGCCAGCACAAAGGCTGACTTACTTAGGATAAAACTGGGCGCTGCACCCCACAGGGTAGTTGTCAGTGTGTGTCTTGTGGTGACTGTGTTGCTGAGATGCTGGTATTTCAAATATCAGCAGGATCATCCACGGCAGACAAATTTCAGGGGAGCTTCTAGACTGGGATGAAGGCTCTAGCAATCTACTTCAGAAAATCAGTCAACAAACACCCTGTGGACCACACTGACCCCATCTGCAACCAGCAGAGCGAGGACGCAGGATTCCACAGTATTGTGTGTTGTTGTGTGTTGGGTCACTGTGGACTGGAGGGTGTGAGCCTGGGGTACCCAGGTTACAGGTGATCTACACCGATTCGTGCACTGAAATGGGGTTTCTTTTGTGCCTTCTGGCTATAGGTGTGTTTTCCAGGTGTTATACACCTCCAATGATTTCTTGACTGCTGCTTCCGTGAGTGTTGATAGTTGACCCAAGAAGAGTGAAGTCCTTGACAACTTCAATCTTTTCTCCATTGATAAGAACGTTGTTTATTGGGCCAGTGGTGAGGATTTTTGTTTTCTTGACATTGAGATGAAATCCATACCGAAGGCTGTGCTCTTTGATCTTTATCAGTAGATGTTTTAAGTCCTCTTCACTTTCAGCAAGCAAGGTTGTATGTAATCACCTGCATATCACAGGTTGTTAATGAGTCTTCCTCAAATCCTGATGCCATGTTTTTCTTCATATAACCCAGCTTCTCGGATTATTCACTCAGCATAAAGGTTGAATAAGTATGGTGAAAGAATACAACCTTGTCGCACACCTTTCTTAATTTTAAACCATTCAGTGTTCCTATGTTCTATTCAAACAACTGCCTCTTGGTCCAGGTACAGATTCCTCATGAGCACAATTAAGTGTTCCAGAATATTCATGCTTCACAATGTTGTGAAAATAGCTTGTCATGATCCACACAATCAAAAGTCTTTGCATAGCCAATAAAGCACAGGTAAACATCTTTTTGATATTCTGTGCTTTCAGCCAACATCCATTGGACATCAGCAATGATATCCCTCGGTCCACGGCCTCTTCTGAATGTGGCTTGAACCTCTGGAAGTTCTCTGTCAATGTGTGATTGTAGCGTTTCTGTATTACCTTTAGCAAAACTTTACTCGCTTGAGATATCAAAGAGATTGTTCAATGATTTCCGCATTCCGTTGGGTCACCTCTTTTTGGAATGGGCACAAATACAGATCTCTTCCAATCAGTCGGCCAGATAGTCATCTTCCAAATTTCTTGGCAGAGATGAATGAGTGCCTCCTGTGCTGCCTCACTTTCTTGAAAGATTTCAATTTTTATTCCATCAATTCCTGGTGCCTTGTTCTT